CACACACACAGACACACAGACACACACACACACACACACACACACACACACACACACACACACACGCACACACACACACAATCAACACACACACACATACACAAAATTCGAGCCACAAGAAACGGAGGGGGGTGAGGCCTCGGCCGGGCCGGGGGCGCCCCGAGGCCGAAGATCAAAGAGTCGGCACCGGAGACGCATCAACCTCCGACGTGCCGTCCCGGGGTCCGCGGGGAATCGTGAAGGCCGGGAATGGGCCGCCCAGAAACCAAAAAAACACAACGAGTCGACACCGGACACAAGTCATCTTCCGAGGTTCCGTCCAGGGGCAAGGGGAGAACTGGGGAGACACATGGGACTCGGGCCGCAGGCAATCGATATGCATATGCGTAAAACACATATGGTTCGAGCCACAGGACAGGGGCAATATATGATCCAGGGTCGAGGGCCCACGGGCCCCCCCCCCCAGATGGTATGGTCCCAGGATTCCTCGGGCCCCCCCCCCCAGATGGTATGGTCCCAGAGACGACGACGACGACGACGAGGACGACGACGACGACGACGACGGCGACGACGGCGACGACGGCGACGACGACGACGACGACCACGACGACGACAACGACGGCTGCGGCGGCGACGACGCCGGCGGCGACGACGACGATGACGACGACGACGACGGCGACGACGACGATGACGACGACGACGACGATGACGACGACGACGACGACGAAGACGACGAGGACAACGACGACGACGACGACGACGACGACGAGGACGACGACGACGACGACGACGACGACGACGACGACGACCCATGAACCACCACAGCACCACACCACATCCACAGGAGGGGGGAGGGGAGCACCGCAGCGCAGCACCACGCCACGCCCACCTATGAGCCACCACAGCACCACACCACATCCACAGGGGGGGGGGGGAGGGAACCGCAGCGCAGCACCACGCCACGCCCACAGGGGGGGGCGGGGGGGACGATCGCGCGGGGGGGGGTGCCCAATGGCATCAGCATTGGGGGGGGGGGGCCCAAGCCCTGGACCATATATAGGCACGTACTTAAACATATAAGATTGGAGCCGCAGGAGTGGCGCACTCTATAAGCACACCACAGGAGAAGGGCAATATTTAGGCCCACATGCAAAACAGCAAAACACGCAGGGCTCGAACTACAGGAGAGGGACACTATATAGGCACATGCCTGAACATGTCAGATTCGAATCGCAGGAGAGGGGGCAATATATAGGCACATAAAACACAGAAAAGAGTCGAGCTACAGGGGAGGGACAAAATTTAGGCGCACATGCAAGGCGCGCATGCAAAACATACAGAGTTCGAACCACAGGAGAGGGGCAATATATAGGCACGTACCTAAACATATAAGATTCGAGCAACAGGAGAGGGGAATCGATAGGCACATACGTAAAAACACAGGAAAGAGTCGAGCCAGAGGAGAGGGGCAATCGATACATAAATGTGTAACAAATAAGATTCGAGAGAAGGGCAACATAGAGGAACATACGTAGCAATACTTTTTGTGTCGGCGGCTAGGCAGAGTCACTGCGCTGGCGAGGAAGCAAAACGGGGCTACCGTCAAGCGAATTGCGCCACCATGTAGGAGGGGGGGGGAGACAACGAAACGACGGCCGAAGAGGAGGAAGTGGGCCGGTGCTGCCCAGGGGAACAAGTGGCTCCCTTGGGCGCGTGGCGCGGCCGTCACCGCCGCGGGGCCAGCAGCAGCAGCGGGGCTGGGGGGCCGGCGGCGGCGGGGGCAGACGCTGACCAGGTCAACGGGCGAGGCTACACGTCACGCACAGCCAAGGAGGCGCCAGTGCTCAAGGACGGGGACGGAGAAGCCCACCTGGAAGGGGCGACGTGGGGCGGGGGAGGGCGCCGGCGGCGAGACCAGCCCAGGCGCCAGGGGCGGAGAGGCAGGCGGCCCCAGCAAGCCGAGGAAGCGCGTGCGAACCGCTGGCGCCCATGCGTGGGAGCCACGGGGCACGCCGAGGAGGAGCCACGAAGGCGGGCACCGAGCAGGTGCAGTCGCGGTGTCCTGCCGGGGTGGACAGGGTGGGCCCGCCGGGGAGGCGTTTAGACGCGGCCTCAGAGGCATTCGGACGCCCGAAATGGGTACGAAAAAAAATGGACACAATGCCCAACAACAAATGTTGTCCCAAACCAGCAGCGGCCGCTGCTGGATAGGCGGCCTCCTGTCTCAAATGGACACAGGCCGCGGCGGCGCGGACAGCGAGTCCTGTGCAGAATGAGCAGGAGCTGCTGTTGGGCATTGTACCCATTCTTTCCGTACCCACTTCGCTCGGGCCGAAGGTGGGCTCGCGCTCCCAGAGGCCCGGCAGGGGCTGAGGGGCACGTGCACCCACGAACCTCAGGGAGGGACGCGGCACGGGGAAGGGAAGAGAGGACGCCCTGAGCGCACCCTGGGCGCGGCGGGCAGAGCGGCGGAAGAGGGGGGCAGCCCAGAGAAGGGCGGGCGAGCACACACGTAAAAACACACACTCGAGCCACAGGAGGGCACACACGTAAAGCACAAAAGATTCGGGCCCTAGGGGAGGGGCAATCTATAGGCACATGCGGAAAGCACACATAGAATTCGAGCCACAAGGTAGAGGGGCACTCTGGAGGCACGTACGTGAAAGATATAGGATTCGAGCCGTCGGAGAGGGGCACTCTATAGGAACAGCTGCAAAGCACGTAGGGCACGAGCCCCCAGGCAGGCAGAGGGGCAATCTGTACGAAAGATTGCAAAACACATCCGGTTCGAGCCACGGGAGAGTGGCACTCTATAGGCGCATGCGGAAAACACATAGGACTCGAGCCCCAGAAGAAGAGCAATCGATAGGCGCATACGTAGTAACACAAAGGATTCGAGCCGCCGGAGAAGAGCAATTATAGGCACATGCGTAAAACCCATAGGATTCGAGTCTCAGGAGAGCGGCAATCGATAGAAACATTCATCAAACACATCAGATTCGAGCCACAGCGAAAAGGCCATCTACATAGGAACAGATGCAGCACATGGGGTTCGAGCTACAGTAGAAGGGCAATAGATAGCCACATACGTAAACACAAAGGAGTCGAGCCCCAGGAGAGGGGCAAACTATAGTAACAACTGTAACATACATGGGATTCGAGCCCCACGACAAGGACAGTCTCAAAGAACAGATGTAAGCCATGTGGGATTCGAGACCCAAGAGAGGGGCAACAGATAGGCGCATACACAGAAACACATCGGTTCCGAGCAACAGGAGAGGGGCACACATCGAGCCAGAAAACCATAGTGAGTGCTGCAGGACCGTGAAACCGAGCCAGAGCACCATAGTGAGCACTGCCGGGCTGTGCTGCCCGCAGATTCGGGTCCGCGCCGCCAGGCCGATGAGACACCTCCCCATGGCAACCCCTGTGGAGGTTCTTGTGGAAGGGATGTTTGACCCCTGCTCGAACCCTCTAGCGAAACGCACCTGAGGAATTAGGAGAGAATAAAAAACATGGCTCCAGCTCGGGACCACAATGTTAGATACCCGCCTAGGTGGCCTGGACACATGAAGACACTCACTGCGAGGGCTGAGTTCGAGCCAGGAAACCATAGTGAGTCGCATATCTGGACCAATAGAGGCCTCCTGGTTGGGGTCCGAGTAGATGGGGTCGGAGGATCTCGCCGCATCGCCGATACGTCGGCAATGCATCGCCGATGCATCGGCGATGCATCGGCCATGCATCGGCCATGCACTGGCGACGTCGGCGACGCATCGGCGACGTCGGCGTGGAAAAAATGGTGCCCCGCATCGAGCCGCATCGCTGATGCATCACCGACGAAGCGGCGATGCGGTGCGATCCTCCGACCCCACCTACTCCGACCCCAGCTACAGAGCTCAGATATACACCATTCGACAGGAAATGCTGAGAAGCGCTGGTCTAAAGTCTAAAGCATTTCGACGGCTGGGCTCGGTCTGCTACCAGAGCTGTGACTCAACAACTACTTGCGCTCTTCAAGTTTGAGGCAGTGGTGGTTTTCTCCACTTAATTCGAGCTGTAGGCAAGCTACGGCCCGAGAACCAGATCGATCCAGAACACCACAGTGAGCGCTGCCGGCACGCGCCGCCGGGCCAGCGAGAGGCCTCCCCCTGGGCCCCCTCCGCGGAGATTCTGGTGAGGGACACCTCTGATGCTATCTTACACCCTCTAGCGAAACGCTGTTCGTGCGGATTGCTCGGAGCGGCGCTGGACCCCCCCTCTCCGGCGCGCGGAGCGCGCCAGGGGCGGCGCGGGAGGCGCCGCCAGAGGAGCCCCGGCGCCGATCCGGGGAATCCGCGCGGGGCGCCGAAAGTTTCTGTTCGCACGGGCCTCCCGCGGACAGAGGCGAGCAAGGGCAGGCCCCCCTCGTGTCGCACACCCAGGGCCAGCCTCTTGAGAGGGGGGGGGGCGCCCTGGGGAGCGGAGCGGGTGGCGCCCCGCAGCGGGCGCCCGCGCGAGCGGAGCTCCTGGAGGCAAGTCCGCCCGCCCCCGCCTGCCGACAGACGGGGAGGGGCACGAAAAGGCCGGCGCACCTGCGACGGCGCGCGGCCGGTCGGAAAAAGCGCCCCAAAGGCGCGGCTCGTGGCAAGGCTGCGGGCTGCGCACCGGCAACCCCCCAGGTAGTCCCGGCCGGCCTCACTCCGAGCACTCCGGATTCCATAATAAAGTCGGGGGGGTCACACTTGGGGGGGGTCTGATTTGAGCTGTCTTGGAGGGTTCGGGGGGGTCTGGGCAAAGGGCCGCCCTTTCATGGATGGTTTGGGAGGGTCTAAAACTTCTCGTCTGGGAGGGTTGAGATCCCCTCCCTTTGATTTTTTGAAATCTGGGGTAGTCCTGGCTGGCCTTCACAGGCCCCCCGAGCATCTCCAGCTGGCACTGCTCGGGGGGCCCGCTGAGGCCCGCGGACACTGACTACCTCGGGGGGCTGCGGGTGCGCAACCCGCAGCCTTGCCAGCGGC